AGCCGGAAAGGCATACAAACGACCAATCACAGCTGCTTTTTGTCTGCGCACTTCTGCTTGAGGTCTGCGCAGGTTTGTGACCGTCTGACGCATAGTCAGGATTTTTTTGAGGTGTGCAATGATGCGTGCAGAACCTTTGCGCAGGGGGCGTGGTCACGCACAGAAACAGATTTGACGGCTATTTAGTCTCCATATTTCTGACCGATAGCAGGAGCCGATGATCTTCATAAGGCACAGATCTGCAGGGCTAGACTCCGACAGACCAACCATAGAAGATGGCTGATGGTACCAGAGCCATTGAAGATCTTCAGGAGCGCCCCCTGTGGTCAAAAGGTCTCCTCAGTGGGTAGCTCTTTCTGAGCTACAGGTAGGCTTACATGTAAGAAGGCTAAATGAAATAGCTCCATCTTATGTCTTTCTAATTAATCTGAGAAGGAGCAGCAGGTCTGTTCAACTTTTAATGGATCCGTCTTTTCTTTCCAATATTCATAGCAAACGTTTTTAGAAAGAAAAGGAACTTTTGGGTGTGATTTCAGATCACAGCATCATTTTCTGCCCCTAAAACTAAGCAGAAGCTCAGAGGGAACTGAGCTTTCACTGCCTCGGCATAGCAGAGAGGCCTCTTCTCTCAGTGCTTTTAAATCTCTTGTCCACCTTTTCTCATTGACTTTAAATACCTAGCCAAACAGTCGCCTTCATTTTATTTGACCATTTTATTCCTTTTTTACCCAATTTTTTATTTGATCGTGCAAATGTTATTTTTACCCACCAACAACGGATGTTGTCAGTGGTGTTCAGCCTGTCTAGATGTTGTGTGATGATGATCCGAAATGCACAACTGCATATAATTAGCATTATAAGCCGCGTTATAATGGAGGAAGGTGGCTCAGGTGATCAGGATTCTTACTGGCCCTGCTGCTAGTATAAACCCCTGCTCCTTCCATCCCAGCCACTGTGTCCTTAGGCATGACACCTTACCCACTTTGCCTGCTTTCGGTGGTCTGGTTCTGCTGTTTGTATGCTGAGAATGAATGGATGAACGAAGCATAAGAAATGCTTCAAGCTCAGATTAATGCAGCACAGTCACTCCTAATTTTGCATATTGTTTGGGATCAAGATGGCCGACGATCCTCATAGCTTAACCTCTGACCCCTCATTTGATTAAAAGGACAGCAGCTGATGTGGCTCGGGCATCTGTTCCGGATGCTTCCTGGTTGCCTCCCTCTCGAAGTGTTCCAGGCATGTCCCATTGGTAGGAGGCGTGGTGGAAGGCCCAGGACACGCTGGAGGGACTATGTCTCTGAGCTGGCCTGATGTCGCCTCGGGGAGCAGCTGGAGGAGGTGTGTGTGGATCGGGAAGTCTGGGCATCTCTGCTTAGACTGCTGCCTCTGTGACCCGGCCCCTGATTAAGAGGAAGAAAATGGATGGATGGATGGATGGATGGATGGATGGATGGATGGATGGATGGATGGATGGATGGATGGATGGATGGATGGATGGATGGATGGATGGATGGATGGACAGTAGCCATACAGACTGAAATCCATCTTCTAGCTTCCACTCAAGCTTAGCCTTTAATCCTGTAGCAGATTCTATGAGGAAGGGGGCCAACATCCAGATTATTAGCCAGATTGTCCTAAAACTACATCCTGTAATATTTCACTAATTCACCTTCCTGGTGGCTTCTCAGCAGAGGATCATCAGACTCAATACCAGAACGCAGCCAATCTGACTCTTTCTAATATAATTTGAATATTCCAACTCTAAAAAGAGACTGGATGAAAATCTGACACCGGTGGAAATGGACGATGCTATAATATCCGGTCAGAGTGGGAAAGCTCCTGGCTGGATGGGCTCCAAACAGATTTTTTTTGTTGAAAAAGCAGTCTTTGGGAATTAACATCCTTCCATCTGCTCTTCCCAGACATCTATTATAGTGTTATTAGAAGGAATGTTTTTTTTTTTGCTCATGTTTCTCTTATTATCAGCCAATTAGCTTAACAAACTGATGGAAAGTTTCCTCAAAGCTCATTGAACTGCAGCTGGAGAAACTTCTCCATGCAAACCTTCACAGATCTATAAACTAGGTGACTATATCGTAGGTCAAACAGAGGTGTGTCTTTCCTTCATACTGGAACCTCTGGTCTGTCTGTCGAGGTTTTGGGATCTCCTTCAGGGTCCCTCAGTGCAATGGAGCAGCTCCAGGTTTACAGACTGACCTCCATACTGGAATCATGGATACTTTGGACTTTTTACAAAATAATTTGTGCCTTACTGACAGGAAATAAAAATGATAATGAACTAATTTTCTTTAAAAAAGAATGAAAATAAAAACAGTAGAGATCAGATTACAGACCCTGTGAGAACAGATATACTGAAAAATTATTTCAAAACATAAATATTTTCTATGACGGAAACGGTTCTGCTGTATCAGACCATCTGATCAGCTGAGACTCATCGTACTGTTAATATTTCATAACTAAAAGAACATAGAAATAAGTGATTGCACCATCCAGGATGACAAAGCTCTTTCTTTGGAAAAACTAGAACATCAGCAGGAGCTAGAACCTGCAGAAGAAAACCCATTGTCATTCTGATGGTCTGGGTCTGATCTGTCCACTGGCCGTCCCAGTATGACCCGCTCGGTCTGGTTTTCCTGCACCTGTTATGTGGCTTAAATGAATCCTGGGTCCTAAACTCCCCCATCATACTGGATGATGCAGCTAACCACCACCATGACGCCTGCTGTGGAAAAAGGAGCTGACTCCATGTTGCTCCGAGTAGGACATCAGCCAGGAGCTGCATGGAGCGACCAGCCCTTCATTCAGCATCTTTGTTAGGGAGGGTGAGGTTCACTCAGTTCTTCACATCCCAGCAGGGACTCATCCCTTCATTTATTATTGGTCCCAGAACAAGAGAGACTCATCAGAGGAGATTGACAATTCCTAGTGGTCCTCTTAATTTGGCCAACGGCCGTCGATTTTTTAATTTTTGATTTTTGCATATAAGTGTTCAGCGATGAGTGCTTCACATGCTGCCTCCTCCTACACTGGTGTGTTTCTTCTTCTCTGAGCTCGCTGATGTAACCCAGTGCAATCAGCTGGTCAACGGTGTCTGAAAGACGTAGAGTAAAGGAGTGTGCAGAGAGCCAGGATTAAAAAGCGGAAAGTTCTGGAAGAGACGCTGATAAATGTAGAAAAATAAGCAGCTGTTTAGTAAAAACAGCTGAAGTTTTGAAAGTTAGAAAGAAAGCAATGAAATGGAAAAGGCACGATGATGAAGTTTGACTGCAAACCACTAAATGAGTTAATCATCTGTTCATTGCATTTTGGGACCCTGGATCTGGCATCATGACTGGTTATATTCTTTATCAATAAATGTAAATAGTAAAAATCCAAAACCAACGCGTGACACATAATATTATGAGATATAAAATCAATCTGAGTAATTGGCCCCTTAAAATATCCTAATTGGTTAAAGTGTGTTTTCCATACTGAATGTGCTGTAAAGGTTATTATTGTTCGTGATGCAGGGCCAGGAGAGTACAGAGAAACTGGAGGAAGAATGAAATATTAATATTCTGTTATGTGATTTCACTTTGAAGGTTTAATATCTGTGAACACCTTTTGAACAGGATGTTGATTCTGATCATGCTGAAAAGGAACTTATGGAGAATAATGTTGGGAATTTTCAGTTCTAATAAATCCATATTAGCATCCCTAACTGGGACTTTATTAGAGCTATTTTATAAAAATATACTGCATTAAAAGCCTTTTCAGAACAATGTGACGTGGTCACCTAAACCTGTCCATTTACAGTTACAACAGTTGTAATGGTAATACGTCATTATGGTCATTATGGTCGGTGGGTGTGTCTGAAGTTGCAAACTGCGGTTCTGACTGGTCGGCATCTGCCAGTAGGTTCAGACCTGTGGGGATTTTTGCCTCTTCAAAAGGTGTTTTGCTTGTAAGTAAAACTTTGCTTTCACATCATATGGGGGGGTTAACCCATAAACCATAGGAGGCGGCGGTTTAAGAAGATCAGGAAGAACCACCTGTGATCCTTCCATCATGCCTCTACTCTCTCCTTGAAGCAGCAGAATGATCCTGCTGTTTTTGGATTGTGTGGATCTCTGCAGGAAGGCGAAGGATTCTCCTACAGCACAGGAAGTTCTGCATATTAACACTAAATTTTATGTTAAATGATCTTCTCACGTAAAACAGGAAATCTGCTAGTCTAGAATCTATTGCTGCATGGTGACATTTCTGGGTTTTTCTATCAGGCTTAGGAGCCTCATCAGGGAATTGTACCGACAACCCAGAATGTTATCACCGAAAGTCAACCCGCTGTCTTCATGTTTAGACCATTTGTATATAAACCTGCTTCCAACTACATCACCAATGAGCTCATCATCTTTTGTCACATCAGCTAGTTACAGAACATTCATCTTGGAACATTCCAGCGGTTCTTCCTTTTTTCCATAATGTTAAATTGATTTCTTTTTATGTGTGTCATTGGATACAAATATGTTGCTTCTTAATCAGTTGCACACAGCCCAGAGCTGTTTCCAGTGCATGAACACCCCCTAGAGGTCAGACTGATGAAAAGTCATCTGAAGTCTCTCATTTGAATCCTCACCAATGGAGGCAAAACATCTTCTAGGAACTGAGCCACAGTCAAACTGTGTGTGAAGAGCTATAAACACATCACCTCATTAGCCCTTAAAATTAGAGACATAATCCCTGCAGTAACATCCACAAACCTACAATCTCACTTTATTAATCCTGGAGGGATTTAGAGGGCTAACAGTCTACCGTAAAACCACCTTTAATCAAAACCAGTAGGTAAATCTTTACCAGTATGATGACGCCTCGGCTCATACTTGGTTATACCATCAAAACAAAACGGCACAGAGACTGTAATCTTTTATTTTACCAACCCGTCAGAAATAATGCACATCCATGATTTACATGGTGGATTTTTATTATCTGTACAGATTCTCTGGCTTCTAAAGTCCTGGATCACACAGATAGGTCAGCTGAGGCCACAGACCATAATGGGGGGATTATTATGGAGGTAGAGGAGCGTAGCAAGAAGCATAAAAACAGGGCAATGATTCATCCTTTAATGTAATAAATGAGATAAGGAGTATATAAAAACTGTTGCCTTAATACAGCTAAAAGTGCAGCTCCTCCAGTATGACGTTAGGTAATAAATTAGCAGCTTATATCATCGTAGGAAAAGGATTTGGTTCTACAGCCGCCCATACTGACACACTCCAGACCCCCAACAGACCCACCTGTACCTGCTGTTGGACGTCCCCCTCCCACTAATAAGTGAACCTCATTGGAAGTTGTCCACATGGAGCTGATAGGACCATTTCTGATGAAGCATGTCTTCAAAACCAAGTCCAGAAGTCCACATGTTGTCGGTATGCGTGCTAACAGCCAGCTGACTGCCCTGAACCATCAGCGATGGAGAGCTGTCTGGCTACAGCTGCTAGCAACATTTTCTATAAAGCTAAACCACCGTCTGAGTGAGCAGCAAGGTCAAAGCAAGCAGGAATATTTTCTGGTAGCAGTGGAGCGGCAGAGCACTGCTCCCCCCCCCACTCTCCCACAGCCCACCCTGCTCATCCTCCCACTCCGTCCTCTTCCTCTCCTGTTCCTCCTTCTCCTCCCTCCTCAGGTCGTCATCCTCCTTGACTTTGTTCATGCTGTCACAGCGCTCTCCTTCGTGGCCTTCGTAGCAGTGGCAGCCGAATCTCTCGGTCAGCTCCTGCAGGTCGGTCTGCGATGGCCACCCACTCACAGCGAAGGCCCCGTCCCCCGAAGGGTTAATCTGGTAGCTCCCAGCACTCAGGTGGAGGTAGTGGCGAGCATGCAGGTCCCGGCGAACACAGCGGCCATTTCCTTGGCAGAGGAACTCGCTGCAGACCTCAGCGGCCCGGGTCACGTTGGTGATGTAGTGACCGAGGCGGTGAGTCAGGAAGGACTTCACTAACGTGCAGTTATGCTGTGGAGACAATGCATCATGGGATTAAAAATCCTACAGACATGTTCGCCTAACAAAAACTTCAACATAGCGAATGTTCAGCCATTTACTCTGTCAGGTTTAGGATGTTTGATGCTGGGAAGAGTTTCAATCCAGGCGTCTGAATCATGACTCAAAGATATAGAATTTAAAATCCTCCTTCTCACATATAAAGCCTTAAATGGCCAAGCTCCATCTGATATCAGAGATCTGATTGTTCCTTATGTTCCTAACAGAGCACTTCGCTCTCAATCTGCAGGTTTACTAGTGGTTCCTAGAATTTCTAAAAGTAGAATGTGAGGCAGATCTTTTAGTTATCAGGCTCCTCTCCTGTGGAACCAACTACCAGTTTTAGTCCGTGAGGCAGACACCCTGTCTACTTTTAAGGCTAGGCTTAAAACTTTCCTTTTTGATAAAGCTTATAGTTAGAGTGGCTCAGGTTATCCTGAGCTATCTCTATAGTTATGCTGCTATAGGCTTAGACTTCTGGAGGACATAGGGACCCCTTTTCATCATTCTGCTTCATTCTGTCTCTATTCTCCCACTCTGCAGAATCTGTTAGTTCAATCTCTAACGTTCTGCTCTCTCTGCTTTACTCATAGTAGCTTCATCTGGTCTGTTCCTGTTTGGCTGTGACTCCATCCTGGAGAGAAATATCAGCTGTGCTGCTGCCATCAACACCTTTGTTTCTAGATGTTGGAGCTTGGTCTGTTTTCCAGTGTAGTCCTGTTTCTCTGACTGCGACTAACTGGATGTGCTCTCTTCATCCTCTGACATGGGAGCTGGCTCGGAGCTCGTCTGCCTGGCTGTGTGTTTCCTGGACGGGGCCGCCTTTTACAGCTGCTTTTTCTATGTCTGCTTCTGTCTCCTTGAACCCCAGCCGGCCTCAGCAGATGGCCGCTCACACTGAGCCTGGTTCTCCTGGAGGTTTCTTCCTGTTAAAAGGGAGTTTTTTCTCTCCACTGTCGCTACAAGCATGCTTAGTGTGAGGGATTGCTGAAGATTCAATGAGTCGATGCAATCAGCTGGTTTCCCTTAGATAGAAAACTTTGAATCAATCTGACCGGATGATCTGGTGAACTGTAAAGCGGTTTGAGATGACATGATGTGAATTGGCGCTAGAGAAATAAGCTGAATTTAATCAAATTTGTTCTGAAATGTTATGAACGTTTGGTGAGATTAGAAAAACAAAGTAAAGACGGGGTCAAAGTTCACAAACCCTGGAAGAGGTCAGGTTTAGGTCCCCCCAGATGATGAACCCTGCAGCTCCCAGGGCAGCACTCTCCCCGATGGTATGAATCAAGTCTTTCTGCAGGATACAAAAAAAAAAAACAGTATCATTCAGTCCTTTACTGTCAAACAGAAAATAAGGTTTCTCTAATTTCACTGTTTGAATGATTCTTTTGAAAATGTGTTTCTGTGGATGTCCAGCAGATGGCAGTAGTGCATAAACTTTGGCTGCTGCTTTCCTGTGTTTCTAAAATGATCTTTATCTGATGAACTTACGTCAGACAGGAAGGCCAGGGCATCATCTCGGTAGCTCAGTCTGAGGTAGACGTAGGTAGGAAGGTCATACTCCTTTGAGGTCAGAGAGGCGATCCGGAGCGACTCCTGGATTCTATGGTGTGCAAAGTGCCAGTTGCTATTGCTGTTGCTGTGAGTTTTCCTGATTGCCACTGAAGGAAACAGCGCGGTGCTGCTGTTCCACAGCCACAGCAGCTCGTCGTTTCTCGTCCTCTCAGACGACGGGCACAGGCCCGTGTAGTTCTGGTCATGCAGGTTGTAGTTGTGACAGTCCGGGTAAAGGTAGAATCCCCAGAGGGCGTTGGGCCGTAGACGGGTTCCCAACTGGATTGTTCGTTGCATGAATGCTTTGGCACTTTTTTCAAACCGCCGCCGGGCCAGCACCTCCACTTGAGCTGCAGTGACGCCCAGATACGCCTTTACCGTCAGCTCCTTTGACTTTCGCCGGTAGATGTCCTTCTTGTGCCAGTTCCGTTCCCACTGAGGTCTCCAGAACTCCCAGTCAATGACAGCTAGTCCACGGAAATCCTCTGCAGGGATAAAATGAACGATGTCCTGATAAGCCTTGAGCAAGTGCCTGTCCAGGCTGCAGTTCTGCGGCAGACCACCATGAATAGCTTTGCCTTGTGGCGTGTAGTAGGGGTAGTAGCCTAGCCGGTTTGCATAAAAAATGGTCACATTTTGGCCGGTCCATGCAGCCCGGGGGCTTCCTTGAATGTGAAAAAGATGCTCAAGGTTGGTGCTGATGTTGTACTTGATGGAGCACATGTCCAAGGGAGCGTTCCAGGCAGCAATAAAGGGCTTCCGGCTAATCAAAGGAAGCTTTGCAGGTTTATGACCATAGGCAGCATGGAAGAGCAGCAGCAGCCAGGAGCAGGTGACAGAGACTGGCACCAGGAGGTGGGAGGAGGATGACCCGCCCACTGGGACCACATTCATTCTGCGCCTCAACGTGTCTCCTGTCAATCATCCTGGAGAGAGGAGAGAATACATCAAGTTTTTAGGTTAAAGAAGATATCGAGTGATTTATATTGGTTGCAGAAACCATTTGAAAAATCCTTTCAAACTTAAAGAAAAGTTGCACCTCTAAACTCCATGAAATGTGATTGAAACATGATGTTGATCCATGCATGGAGGGACTGTCTCTCATCCAGTGACATATTGCTGGTGAAGATTCTCAGTCATCCAGGTCATAGTCGTTCCAAAAAAGTTCAAAACAATCCGCTGGAATTTGTTTCCAAGTTTAAAGATGTTTCGTTTCCCTTCCAGGAAGCTTTTTCAATTCTTGAAATTCTTGAAAAAGCTTCCTGGATGGGAAGCGAAAACGTTTTCAAACTTGGAAACAAGTCCAGTGGATTGTTTTGAACTTTTTCTAATAACTCATCCAGTGACTGATTGTTTCCTACGCTGGTTGTTAAGTTTGGCTGCAGTTCAACAGGGAACAGAGGAAGTTTTTCTCTTCTCTCCAGCTTCTCTGTTTTAGCTGAAGCTGAGATGCTGAATACACGGGTTTGAGGAACCGATCTCAAACTTATGGCCTATTTTTCCCTGAAACCACGTTGGACTCTTTGATATGAAGGCTGCAGACTGAGACTCTCCACCAAAACATAAACAGGTTTCTTTATTTAGTCAAAGGCTCTAAAAACACATTAGACTGAGCCTAAATGTCAGGAAAACAGGAAGATCCTTTAAATATCCACCCTACAGCAGTCTGGGTAGCTTACGTTGCAGAATCCCTCCTGTGCTTAATACTTTGTTGACATCACAGCACAGCATGTAAATAGAAGCTGGAGGATCATGTTTTTTATGTCTGTTTTTGTCTACAGAGGAATGAGTTCTCCTGGGCCCTTTGGAGCCGCGGTTAGCTCTGCTATCTATTCACAAAGACATTTGTTGGTATCTGTGGTTCCTGTGAAACGGAACGGCTCCACTCATTCAGTTGACACACTGGGGACGCTGGTTTTTATGTCTGTGCTGCTAAATGATGGTGGATTGCGGTCGCTGCTAGAGGCTCATTCAGGTGTCAGAAGTTCAGTGGGTTCATCTGTGAGTCAGCCGATAACACAGATGTTTGCTGCTGTTTTAATCATGAGCTCGAGGAAGGTGGCTGCTCCTACTGCAGGGTTACAACCAGCAAACACAGACGAGGAAGGAAAAGATCAAACTCCTGAGTGCTGCCTTTGCCCAAAACGCTGGGCAAAGGCAGCAAAGCCAGGAGTCACTCCGGCCCCCTGATGGAAGGATGAGGGGCTGCAGCCAAAAAAGCTCACAGCCACAGATCCACCATCTGTTCCAGAATAAGGTCCCAAATCAACAGGATTCATCTAATTCCACTCATTCTGTCTTATCCTTTAATGAAAGCCTTATCATTCCAGCCCTATCTTTGGTGTTAAATCAGTGACGTCAGCAGGAACAGAGAAATAAACCCAGTTCATTCATATAGCAGCAATTCACAAAATGCAATCTTAACCCTTTAACAGCCTAATCATTTTCATAGGAAATGCAGGCTAGAGTTGAGCAAGGACGTTAAAGGGTTAAGGCCCTGAGATGTTTCTACCAGATCAGATAAACTGAGGAGGTGCAGCTTGTTGCTCATATGTCTACAAACACAAACCTTCCTCAGATGCAAGATATTGGGTTCTGATTTATCTCTTCTGTTGTGGTTTCAGGGTTAGAAGGATTAATTCCCCAGGGCTCCTACTTGTAAAAATGTTGCATAGTTGCATTCTATACTATAGAATCTATACTAGCCAGAAGCGCTTGGACTTCCTGCGGAGGATGAGGAGAGCCCACCTGCCCCCCGCCCCCCCCCCCCCCCCATCCTCCCCACCTTCTCCAGAAGCACCATAGAGAGCGTTCTGACCAGCTGTCTCACTGTGTGGTGTGGAGGCTGCAGCGCCTCAGACTGGAAGAAGGTGAGAACAGTAGAGAGGATCATGGGGGCTCCTCTTCCCTCAAATTAAAGACATTTCATCCCAGCGCTGTGTGTCCCGAGCCTGTGACATAATCAATGACCCCCAACCCACCATGGACTGTTCTCTCTGCTGCCCTCTGGGAAGAGACTTCACAGCATTCAATGCAGGAACAGGAGGTTCTGCAACAGCTTCTTCCCCACCGCTATCAGACTGATGGACTGTTGAGAAAACTCTAATCATTGAGTGAGGAGACCTGAGGCTTCTTTGGGACTGGAATAATGATGGCAGACTTGAAGCATGCTGGCACTATGGATTGGTCCATTCAGGTGTTACAGATGTCTGGGAGGACTCCAGCCAGCTGATCTGTACACTCCTTATACACCTGCCCAGGTATGTTATCAGGCCCTGGGGCCTTCCTCGGATTAACTCTCCTCAGAGTTTTCCTCATTTCAGCTACGTCCAGGTTTACTGCCTCCTCCCCCTGGTGTGGAACAGCTTTCACTGCTGGAGGCTGTTTAGTGCCTCAAACCTTCCAAAGAAGTTGTTCAGTTCATTTAGGAAGTCAGTGTTTGCTGCATCTACCGGGGGGGAGGGTGTGTTGTAGTCTGTGATCATCCCAAGGCCTTTCCACATCCTCCTGGTGTTACTATCATCGTTGAAAAGATCCTGGATCTTCTAGCTGTGGTTCTGCTTCACTGATCTGATGGCACGGTTTAAGTTGGCACGCGCTGTTCTCAGTGCCTCTTTATCACCAGACTTTAAAGCTGAGTTCGGTGCTTTTAGCGATTTCCGAACCTCTCCATTTATCCAGGGTGGTTGGTTGGCCCGGGTGGTGATGTTCTGAACACTCTGGGCAGATAGACTGCAGTCAACAGTCAGAAACTAGCAGAAGAGCAGAAGCTGGCACCCCATCTTTTTACACCAGTTGTTGTTGATGTAAACACAATGCCCCCCTCCTCTAATGTTACCACTGAGTTCAAAGCTTCTATTGGCACGGTATTATGTTAGCTTATCCAGGCTAACAGCGTTGTCTGGTATGTCTCCATCAGGATGAAAGCGCAGCAGTTACTGAGCTCCTTCTTTGAAGAGAGTTTGAGTTGTAGTTGGTAATTTAAGAAAATATGTTTAACCGAGGACTGAAGAGGAGCCGGTGAATAGATGGAATAATAATCAGAGGTGTCAAGTAACGAAGTACAAATACTTCGTTACTGTACTTAAGTACTATTTTTAGGTATCTATACTTTACTCCATTACTTATTTTTCTTCCTACTTCTGACTTTCTACTCATTACATTTTCACACAACTATCTGTACTTTCTATTCCTTACGTTTTTAAAACAAACGTTACTCTTGGCTTCAGTGTTATGCAGAGGTCAGAGAACCCACCTGCTGGCTAATCCGGACCCAACCTGATTTAAAACATTTATAAATTACTGCATGTTTTCTGTCGACAGTGTCTACACGTCACTTGCGCCGCTTCTCCTGTTACCCCAAAATCCCACATCCTCTGTCACCGCTGCACAGCTCCAGACCTCCTGCACAAGGCCAAGCCTACAGCCTCCGCTGTTCCTCCTGTATTGCTGCGCTCCGACTTATCCTCAAAGCTCGAGGAGAACATGAGCGATATTATCATTAAATACGAAGGAGGAAAAAATGCAGAAATGAACGCTTAATTTAATAAGACATATTTAAAAAATCCCCATCAGCATCCAGCAGATGTGCGGTTTCTGATGGAGATGAGAAATCTGCTTCCTGTTCTGTTGAAGAACCAATAGTTTGCATCCAATCATTTAAATAAACAGTGTTAGTTTTTTGAAATATATAAGAATTATGTTCTAATCTGTAGTTATTACCGATCTGTTGTTACTATATTTTAATTTGGTGCGATTGCAATATCGGATCGTGACCTGGCCGGACCGGAGCGGAACCTGAACATTTAGTATGTTTGGCTCAACCTGCTGCTGTGAAGCAGGATTCCCCTCCATGAACAGAATCAAAAATAAATATGGATCCAGGCTCAGAATGAGCTCCTTGATATGTGCTTGAGAATGGCTTAGTCTCCATTCAAACCCAGGTTTAAAGCCTTGCAGGGAATCCTGCTATCATTAAGACAGAAAAAAGAAAGAAAAATAACAAACGCTCAGTTCAGGTGTTTTAGAAAATATGGGAATCAGGAAATTGTCTATAAACCAAACTGAACAATTGTTGTTCTCTACTGCAAAAAAACACTTTAGATTTTAATATGGAAACATTTCCTTTTTTTTCTATCTTTTAAAAATTTTCTATTCATTTATTTTCAATGTTTAACATGGATGCATAAACACCTAATTTTATTTCAGTGTTAAATTAAAAGATCATTAAAAATGTCTCAGGACCTTTACTGGTTAATGATTTTTAATTGGTTACCCCTGGTTTAATGTTTATAAATATTTATTTCACGTCATGTGCTCCATCCACTGCAGATCATTTGCTTCATCCACATCTAGTGAAAACTAGTGGAATTGGATGAGTCATAGAACACAAACACTCATTGGTTAGCTAAAGGAAATCATCAGAAGCAAGCAGGTGTTCTTCAAACTGCTAACGTGAATTGTCTATGCCATGCTACAATGTTGGATGAAGAAAAAGATGTTGAAATGTCTGAAAGGTCGGACACAGGCGAGAGCGTATCGGGAGACGGAGACCAACAAGACCTCCCTCATCCTTGGACCTATCTCTAAGAATTTCTAGAAATAGTCATAAAATTGAGCTTTCAATTCATATAGTGGCATCTGACTGTTTTTGTTAAATGTTACTTTGTACTTTTATACTTTAAGGAGTTTTTGGAGAACATATTATTTCACTTTTAGTTGAGTAAAGAGGTCAAGTTGATACTTCAACTTTTACAAGAGTGTTTTTTTAAACTGCAGTATCTATACTTCTAATTAAGTAACAAATGTGTGAACCTTTGACACCACTTTTGACACCATAATCAGCAACGACACCACCTCTATGGAACCAGGTCTGAAGCATGCAGAGGTTTGCTGAGAATAACCAAAGGAAACATGCTAACTAGGGCAGAATGTCATGGCCGCTTTCCCAGTGTGGCAACTGGTTTGGAAGATTCATCAGGAGGGGAATTTGTCTTTCTGTAGAGAAGATAGCATCTTAATTAAGAACCATGTGACACTTAGGACCCAAGAAGATATGTTTAACCACAGCCTGAACATTTCAGAACAAAAAGACTTCCCCTCCATCAGAGTCATGTACCTGGTGGAGCGGAGACTGGTCAGGTTTACTGTGACAGGCAGCCAGCTGTAGACGCCTGTGAACATCTGCAGGACACCATCAGGCTGATAACCCTGTTGATCCTCAACAGAACCAAGGTCCAGACCTCTACCTGACTGAGAAGGAGCCTCTGCAAAAAGGATCCAAGTTCCATGAACTGAAGCAGCATGGAAAAGATGAGCCATCCCAGGTTCTTCTGCAGCCATAATGGAGTTACTGGAATCCAAAAATGGATTTTTCCACACCTTTCTGACACGCCTCCTCTCTGCTCCTGGAATCACTTTAGTCGACGCTGACTGAAGGATAATCATCCAGCTGTGCTCTCAGCTTGGTGTTTTATTAAAGTGTCTAAAGGTCTGTAAGCAAGAGCTTAAAGTGATTTTCACGTCTTCCCTAATCTGACCTTTCCATAGCCTGATAACTCATCGAACCGATTCTTAATCACTTTTCATTAAATGTTCAAACCAGCATTTTATTACAGGATGTGGTTCATATGAAGGCCTGAAGACAGCCGATGGACTTTTACCTTTTCCCTTCTAATCCTGTCAGCTGATCAGGAGCTGAGTGCAGCGCTGATCTCTGACTGAGATGCTGATCTGCAGACAGGAACCTGGAAAACAACACGGCTTCTTCTGACAGCTGGAACCGCTTTTAATCTGTCTGCCCCCCATGCTGCAGGACTTTAAGACGATTTACAGTAAGTGCTTATGAGTCAGAGCGTCTGTAAGAAGTGAGACTGTAAACGTTTCAGCTTCATCTCGCTGCAATAAAACTCCCATCAACAATAAAGGAAACAGACGTCTGCTTTTCTGATCTCTAAACAGCCGTAATTTCTGCACTCTGTGGGTTTCTGTAACATTCTTAGCATGACAGGGCGTCCCCTTCTCCTCCCCCTTCCTTCATCACCCAAAACACCAGGAGGTGCCGCCTTAGCCAAATTTAAAAATATACTTCATCCTCTTCCTTGTGCAACACAGCAGATCAACAGGAAAGAAGGACTTCCAAAGTCTGAAGGCTCACCTTCCCATGATGGAGTCTCATCTTCAGGGGCCACAGCAGGGGTCATGGCGGCCCTCTGCACCAGACGTCCCAGACGCCTGAACCTCATCTCTGAAGACCAGCCACTAATCCAGGCTTATATGCAGGCAGGCGACGGAGAGGGAGGGGAGAGCGTCAGCCCCACAACACTGCGATTAGAGAGAGGGAGGAAAGGAGGGAGGGAAAGAAAGGGAGGCCGAGTCACAAAGAAAGGGGTGGGGGGGGGGGAACCATCTCAGCTTACTGAGCTCTAAGGTCTGATCCTCTGTAGAAGAAAAACCTCCGTTCATCTAGAAACTGTCACCAGTCAGGAGCTGCTGCTTTGCTTCTGAAATCTGAAAGAAGAATCGAATTCCACTGGTAAGGAAAGTGCAGCTTTAGTGAAACAATACCTCCTAAGCAATACCTGCTGAGCAATACCTCCTAAGAACACCTCCTAAGCAACACCTCCTAAGCAATACCTGCTGAGCAATACCTCCTAAGCAACACCTCCTAAGCAATATCTCGTAAGCACTACCTGCTGTGCAATACCTCCTAAGCAATACCTCCTAAGCAACACCTCCTAAGCAATACCTCCTAAGAACACCCCCTAAGCAATACCTGCTGAGCAATACCTCCTAAGAACACCTCCTAAGCAATACCTGTGAGCAATACCTCCGAAGCAACACCTCCTAAGCAATACCTGCTGAGCAATACCTCCTAAGAACACCTCCTAAGCAACACCTCCTAAGCAAAACCTGCTGAGCAATACCTCCTAAGAACACTTCCTAAGCAACACCTCCTAAACAATACCTCCTAAGCAATACCTGCTGAGCAATACCTCCTAAGAACACCCCCTAAGCAATACCTGCTGAGCAATACCTCCTAAGAACACCTCCTAAGCAATACCTGTGAGCAATACCTCCGAAGCAACACCTCCTAAGCAATACCTGCTGAGCAATACCTCCTAAGAACACCTCCTAAGCAACACCTCCTAAGCAAAACCTGCTGAGCAATACCTCCTAAGAACACTTCCTAAGCAACACCTCCTAAGCAACATCTCCTAAGCAATACCTCCTAAGATGGAAGAACCTTAGTCCTGTCATCTCTGCCATGATGAAGGGTCTGAACACTTTGACCTCCTAAAGTATGACAGGTTACCATGGTAACCCTGTGAACTGTTTTTGATGGGTCCAGCAGCCATAGGCAATGCCTCTGGTCATTAACCAGTCATTCATTGATACCGCTGGGTTCCTCAGAGACAGAGCCCTCTCTGAAATCATCAACCGCTACCAATTCCATCATCTATATTCTTAAACCTTGTGGAAGGGTGAGGGTTAGATTCCTCCCCCACAAGTTGCTCAATTCCTTTACACATTGCATGATTTCACCTGAGCTGAAGGTACACTTTCCTAAATTCTATTCAGTTTATTTCGATGGCTCCAACTCGCTTCATGTCATCTCTGGTCACTTAACAGAAACAATTTGATTTAAAGTTTTCTATTTAAGGAAAACCAGCTGATTGCATCAACTCATTGACTCCTCAGCAAATCCCTTTGCACGGGTCTGATCTTTCAAAACTGTCCCGCACTCGTAGAGTTCAGAACCGAGATTCGACCCGTTACCTGCAACTATCCCCATTTAACACCTGACGGGGACCGCATGGACCCGTGAATAATTAAGTGCGACCTGACCCATTATCACTACGTGTACACACAGCATTTATAATAACAGATGCAGTAAAGATCATCCTGGAGACAAACCTTAGCTGAGCTGCTTCCTGTTTAACTCCCTTTGAACAGGAAGAAACCTCCAGCAGAACCAGGCTCACTGTGAGCGGCCATCTGCTGAGGCCGACTGGGGTTCAAGGAGACAGAAGCAGACAGAAAAAGAGATAAATTTTATTAGGAAGTACATCTATGTTATAATTCTCCACAATACATTTTTTCCTAACTATTTGATTAGCAGCCTGGTCTCCATCAGGTCTACAGGTCGGAGGCTATCCTGACGGCCACATCAACTATCCTGAGTCCCACACCAACTTAAGAGCCCTGGCAAAGCAGAATCAAATCAGAATCACAGTCAGGAAACACTAGAGTGAAAGGAGACACAAATACAATAGAGACAAATGTGCAAGATATTCATCTGCATGGATTCTCCTCATTTAGCACTCTGCTGCTACTGTTCTAATTAAATGGGAACGTAGCCCATTTAATTAGAACAGTAGGATTCAGACTCCAGTGGTTTACCAAACATCTTTACAACCACAAGACAAAAGCAATCATGTAAACTAGATCCAATGTGTCCTCCAGCCTAACAGCCTTTAGAGACATCTGCAGACAGACAGTTTATTCCTTCAATGCTTGCTTACATCCTGCATTAAAGTGGAACATCATGAAAGAAACATGACTCTTCAAAACCTCCAGATTACTATCATAAATCTTGGGACATAAAAAGTGATAATAATTTTGGACTTTCAGAACCATTGAGAACCATTTAGAATATAAATACTCTGTATCTGGAGAATAAATAACCAATATGCAGCTATGGACATTTTGACGGAAATGGATATTTGAAAATAGCAGCAACATCAGAGATGTTCAAAGTGACAGCAGCATGTTATTTAACTGACTAAAGTAGCAACTGTTCAAAATCAGCATGAATATAACAACTTATTGAGGTTGTTGGGATCAGTGGTGGTTCTAGAGTCTTCCAGCTGCTGGGAGGAAGGATCTGTGATAACGCACCATGGTGCATTTAGGGTGCAGCAGTCTGTCATTGAAGGAGCTCTCCAGTTCAGCACCAGCTTCATGCATGGCGTGGGGGAGACATTATCCAAAAGAGATGTTTATTTAGTTAGGATCCGTCTGTTTCCCTTTGTTTGTTTAAACCGCTAATGGGAGAAACTGCTTAATTGCTACAAAGACTTATAACTACGAATCTGCTTAAGACTGCTTAAGATTGCCGCTACTCCTCCTTTTCCTAAACTCATGAAACAGGCCTGGACTAAAATTATGTATAATTGTGTCACTCGACCTCTGCTATGATTGGTTCCTGTTCCTGTCAATCAGCCCTCTGTTCCTCCCAGCAGCTATTCTGCTCCACTCCTCATGCAGGGGTCTCAAGCTGCGTTCCCACCAAACGCAGCAGGAGTAGCAGGAGCAGCTGGTTTACATGCAAAGTCAATGGTTGACGTGCGTCAAGGCGCAGCAAAATGCCCTGCAGCGCGTTTTGGTGAGCAGACGCAGCACGTCTGGAGCGTTTAAGCATCTGACGCGCGCGACGTGCCGCAAACGCAGCAACTGCTCGAGATGGAAAAGTTGAACTTTTGCTGCTCGAGGCGCCACATCAACCAATCAGAAAAGCTGATCTGGGAGCTGGCAGGGAGACAGACACAGCACTGCTGATGCAGAGCGCCATAATCACTCCTTTAAAACAGTTTATTAACGCCTAAATTAACTTAAAATGTAGAAACCTGCCGACAGAATATGTTCGCTTTTATTATCCCGCTGGTGCGCTGAGCCGCTCCGACATAAAAATAGTATTTGATTGCAGGATGGTAATCTGGATGAACTGACTGCACAGACCATGTTTTCAGGTGGACTTTCTCACTTAAAAACATATTAAAACTACTTTATTCCCACTGATTACAGCAAATATAGCAGCAAGGCAAAGAAAGGATAGAGTAGCTCTGCCCAACGTGCCTCAGACACACTTTATCCACCGTGCAGCTGCAGCAGGACTGCGTGTCAGAACTAAACTTAGACAAGCATCAAAAATGAAGCAGCAGGCGTGTTTTTGCTGTTCCTGCTGCGTTTGGTGTGAACACAGCATCAGGCTGCCTTTCCTGTTTCAGCTCCTTCCATAGGTGCTTAGTAGGATGGAGGTCAGGGCCCCTAGGGGCCCCTTCAGCCCAATGATTCCCTCTCAGCTGTTCTCTGTTGTTTCTGTGTTTTGGCTCCTGATCCTGTTGCTGAGACCAAGCTTTCTGACACTGCAGCACATTTCTCTCTACCGTCCCTGATAGCCTGGAGATTTCATTGGAGCCTGCAGAGATTCAGATGAAGCTAAGCAGCCCACAGCATAACACAGCCTCTTCCATGTTTGTTTTTTTTCTGGGTCTGCTTCATTTTTGTCTTCATTTGGATGTTTGTTGGAATAAAGCTCCATGTTTCGTGTGCTCTGTCCAGAAGACGTTCTTCTAGAAGCTTTGTTTCTGGTCTAAATGCAGTTTGGTGAATTCCAGTCTGACTTTTTTAATGGTTTGTTTCCATCAATGTTTCCTTATTTGTCATCTCTCATTAAGTGCATTTTAGCCTCAACAGATGATCTGATTTGACACTGATGTTCGTTGAGAAGTTTTTCTAGGCTCTTTCATTTTCTGTTCATATTTTCTGTCCATTATTTTACATCCAGGGTGGTTGGCTGCATTCCATGGCTCTTCAGTTTCTGAGTGTCAGATTGCACCATCATCCATGTTCAGACAAATGCAGGAAACAATAAAATTGAGAAGGAACTCATGATAACGACACCATGAAGGCCATGAATGAGAGAGGTGGGAAGCAGAGGAGATTCCTCCAGCCTGCAGTCATAATGCAGAGCTTAGCTTCCACTTCCACTGCCACCTACTGATCAGAGCTTTGCATAAGCCCCGCCCCCATGGAGTACCAGTCTGCTCTGTATCTGGATGCTCACTGAGTTAGACTGGAGAAAGAATTGCCCCTTTTAAAGTTTGATTGAATTCTTTAGTATATTTTACAACCGTTCATTAAAAGGAAGCTGGGAGCGGAGAGTTGGTAGTGACCTTTAACACCCAGGCCCCCCATGGGACCCTTGTTTCTGTTTGCATCTTTGGTGGCAGAGATGATTGAGGTTCCGCTGAAACATGGTGTCCCGTTTCCTGAAGGGCGTCCCGGCGTCCAAAGCTCTCATTTAACTGTATCTGATGCCATCTTTACGGATCTAGACATTTTGGGCCCAGAAAGGTTAGACCCAGATGTAGGATTAGAATCATAAAGGTTGGCTGGACTCAGAGTCAACAGAGCGCTGGCCATGCTGGGTTTCTCCTGGAGCAGAGATCGTCAGCATTCAGCGCCAACATTCATTTCCAGGACTTTAGTTTATTCTTTGATTCAATCTACAAAATCCCCCCCCCC